ATAGTCTATGACAGAGGTGTGGACTCGAGTTACATGACTTGGACTCGAGTCAGAGTCGAGTCATTATTTTAATGACTTCTGACTTGACTTGATAAAATCTATAAAGACTTACGACTTGACTCGGACTTGAACGCCAATGACTTGCGACTTGAATTGACTAGCATCTGTTGACTTGATGATGGCTTGAGCATATTTGATAATTTAGCACAAAAGTGGCACGACATGGACAAAAATCATAAATGATTCTTTGTTCTGGGTTTGATCTTGTTCTGCTAAATGCAGCAGCTCTTTGTTTATAATCAGTTTCAGTTGCACTTTCTGCTTGTTTGAGCAAATAAATGAAGCTTTGAGAAGCTTTATTTCTGGAATTTATTTATTATCATGGTCATTAAATTGAAGTTGGACAGATGACTTGAATATGACTTGAAAATTCAAAGTTAAGGACTTGGACTTCCACATCATTGACTCTGGACTTGATTTGGACTTGGTTGTATTTGACTTGGACTTGACTGGAAAGACTTGTGACTTACTTGTGACTTTCAAAGCAGTGACTTGGTCACACCTAATGTAGATGGACTGTTTCAAACCAGCTGTGGCGCGCAATTTTGAGGTGTGTCCTAGAAGTGGCGCGCCATGCTGCTAAAGATAGGGTCAGGTTCTATCTTTGCCATGACCTGCTTCTGGGACACGTTAATTTTCGTAGTTAACATAGGACTAGACAGGACATCACACACGGTTTCAGTGTAAAACCTCCGATAATTTTCAAAATAAAAGTATTTTAGCTATGCAATTTCATAAATATAAATTACATGTGAACCAACGGTTTATTTACTCCCAGTATCATTCCAGAAGTGCAGCGGTGTGTTTTTCATGGGTTTAATCTTGGAAGTGGAGAGCAATAACATAACATATGACATCAATGTCACAGCAATATCAAATGTGATTTTCTTTTTTTTGGTTTAATGGCGGATTGCGTAAACAAACCGTGACCTTTGAAGTCTCGAGGGATCTTGTGATATCGCAAGTCAGGTGAGGAGGATGGCGGAAGTCTTGAGGAAACTTGAGATCTTGCAAGTCCAGCTAAGAGCACAGTAAGTAAGTCATACCGCAGCCAAGACTCTCCTGGTGTGAAATGGACCGCTTTGGAAATCGCGAGTAAACCTTTCCGCTGTCGTTTTGCACTGCAATTTCAATTTCAGCAGTTTTATTGTTGAAATTTGTAGTACCTTTCAGAATGAGCCGTTTCATGGCTGTCACTTTAAGAAGGCAAGCTGGAGCTGGCCACGCTCACTCATCCCCTGCTCAGGCTACTATGAGCTGAGAAGCTCCGAAATGATATCGGATGGTATCGGGGAGAGTAGAGCTGCTGCTCCTCCAGCAGCAGTCTTCTATTGCAAATGAGAAATGGTTCCATTATAGAGACAGTAGATGTATGGAGGCAGTAGAGACCCACATGGTGGCTCAAATGAATACAAAAGGCAAGTTTTGTACATTATAATAAGTCTGGTTTAAAAAATATAATCAAAACCAAAAACAATAGAACCTCTTTGTTAGTATTCTGAGCATCTTAAAAATGAGAGCGCTACTTTTTAAATGTAGTGACCTTTTCAGGTCATTGGTCAACATGAAAAACATGTCATTGGTTAAAGGGGCTGGGAAACTATGAAGGTCCCATGATTCAAAACAAAAATCACCAATCATGCAGAAAAATGTTATATTTCCTGTTTTTCACTAAAAAAGACACATTCTGGTGCCAACTTAAATATATTTTCACATCTATTATTAACATACATCTTGGAAAAACAAGTACTCGTCCAATTATGCCCTTTATAAAACACTTCAGTACGCCCTTATTTTGATGGACAGTCTAAAGAAAGTTGAGTTTGAATTATCTCACACAAATAACCTAAAAATAAAGGCACTTACTGGTATTTATGAGCGCTGAGAAATGCTGAAATGTGGAAAAAGCCAGTTAAATGCTAAAACCTCAGCCGTTTGTGAGGCCTTCAGAAATCCCATTCTCAAATGCATATAACTTAGTAACTGGTATAAATAAGTTGTCAACAAACAATCTGTCTCCATTCAGTTTTTTCCCCCACAGTGAATGACCGACAGTGGATTAGGCTGTGATTATGTAAAACACAAACAAGGGTGTGCAGTTTGAAGATAAGAAAGGGAAAAATGTGTTTGAGCCTAAACGATGCAAGCTAAAGCCATTACTCTTTTTCCCCACTCTCTCTCTCTTTTTTTAAGGTTGGGCCCAGAGGAGTGTGTTGGAGGAGTGTAATCGAGATAATAACACAGCTACACAGCTGTTGATGGGGTGTGTGGAGGAGAGCCAGGTTAGAAGTCAGCATGTTAAAAGGTTGACTTCAGAGAACATTCTGTGGACAGGACCCAACAGGTCAGATGAGAGGATGAGGGGAAAAGGTGACTGAAGTGATGCTTTCGAAGTCTAGAAATCTAGACAAAACAGAGCAGTAGCAAAAGATTTAGCTCTGCAGGTCGATCTAGCCATGCTCTATCGTGGCCTCAGCAGGTCTAGGCTAGGCTAGGTCATTGACTAGGCTAAGTTTAGGTCGAGCCAATCACAGCGCTTTATGTTTGTAGAGAAACATTGGGCTGTCTAGCCCCATTACGACAGAGCTTTTTCTTTTTTTATACAAGGACAACAGAGCTGTGACGGAACGAAACAACAATAATGGAGGTGACATTAGCATTAAATTTAGATAATTTAGACCTGGGCTTTTGTCAAAGGCATGAGCGAAGAGAGATACCTTTTCTTCTTCTACTTCTTCTTTGACAGTGTATTGTGGACGGCCCCATTGACTGATTTCCATCACTATGAATATGCCATATTTTTCCTTGCATTGATTGGTCCTAGTGCTGTCTAATTGCATGTGGAGAAATTTTGAAAGACAACCATAGATTCCACCCCAATGTCTGAGTTCTGTCTATGGGTCGTGGTCACAGTGCATTACGCCCCGGGACACAACAGCAGCATTCTCTGGTTAGAGCCGGGATCAAACCTGCAACCTTCCGATAACCCGCTCTACCTCCTGACCTACTGCTGTCCAGGAAACATCAAGGGAGGTTGCAGAAATGACTAGAACTGGATTAAAACCTGTCCAACGCATTATTAAAAACTGATGGACCCTGTTCCAGAGTGATGGTGCATCAGGGTAAGAAGAGAGGCAGATGAAGGGATGCATCCATCATGCCTAGTGCCTACTGTACTGTGGGGGCAGTGCTATGATCTGGGGTTGCTGCAGTTGGTCAGGTTCAGGTTCAGCAACAGGATGTGCTCCAAGAATGAGGTCAGCTGACTGCCTGAATATCCTGAATGACCAGGTTATTCCATCTTCCCTGATGGTACTGGAATATTCCAAGATGACAATGACAGGATTCATCGGGCTCAGATAGTGAAAGAGTGGTTTTGAGTCCAGACCGTAACTCCATTGAGAATCTTTTGGGGGTGCTGGAGAAGGCTTTGTGCAGCGGTCAGACTCTACCATCATCAATGCAAGATCTTGGAGAAACATGAATGCAACACTAGATGGAAATAAATCTGGTGACATTGCAGAAGCTTATTGAAACAACGCCACAGCGAATGTGTGCCGTACTCATAGCTAAAGGCGGTCTAACAAAATATTGGAGTGTGTGATCGTTTCTCTTGGTGGTAAAATATTTTTGGGCCAGGCAGCGTATTTACATATATAGGATGGCTTGCCAGGATAATGCTTTTGTGAAATGAATAAAAAAATTCATCTATCAAAAGATAGCAAATAAATTCACAAGATTTTCACTGTTCTTTTCCTTTTTTTTTCTTTTTCTTTTTTTTTACCGTGTCCTGTCTGGCTGTGAAGCAAGCAGAATTGATGTCTGAATGCTGGTAACAAGCCTTACAGATTTACTCTCAGGTGGAGCATCAAAGCGTTTGCTTTTAATGTCACGCCTGATACTTAAAACTTTATTGTTATTGTTGTTGAATGCTTTGTAATTCCGACCAGACACGGAGACAGAGATGAAAGAGAAAGGAAAAGAAAAGGTGGGGAGAGAGGAGGGGGGGGGGGGTCCACAAAAATAAACAATGAACAAGAGTCTGCTTCTAGACCTGCAGAAAAAAAAGCAAAAGGACAAAAAAAGGGACACAACAACAATACAACAAGATCTAGCTATCACTGCATCAACTTGATGAAGAAATATATAATCAACATTGCTTAACTGAAGAATCACGATAAATCACAGTGCATTAAGTGCCCACCATAGTCTTAAGACCTGTGTTCGTGCCCAAGCCCATACTTTTGAGAGCACCATGTGAGCACCTGTGTGTGTACACGCACTTGTTTATTTAAGGTTTCTCTGTAGGAGCATCCAACAGAGAGTGTGAGGGACCACAGATCCACCCCCCAAAGATGCGCAGGAGACGGGGGGAGCTCCAAGTCCCAGAGATCCAGGCGCTGCCCCAGAACACAGGAACCCCAAGGAGACTGCAACCAGAAAGGCCCCCGCCCCCCTCGAGAGGCACAGAGGATCGCCCCGGGGGGCCACAACCAGCAGCCGGCAGAGTCCCGGGAGACATCAGCCGCAAGGCCACAGGCCCGCCCGCAACCTCCCACCCCCTAGCCGGCCGAGCCCGGGACCCAGCGACCCGGGACCCAGGGGCGACCACCCCTGCCGGGGACCCAGCAGAGCCCAGGGACCCAGACCCCACCAGGCAGCCACCGGGATCTATCAGGCAGATGCCAAAACCTTAAACCCCCAGACCCGGTTGCCACAAACTCTCAGGCAGACCAAGGCACAACCCCTCACACCAGGTGTGGCAGGGGGAGGGGGGACGAAGATCTATATCATCAAGAGAATTTTCACTGTTCTTTTCCTTTAAGAATAAACTAGAAGACATTGTGTTTGCACTGCAAAATAACAATCTCGCACAATCACTCTAAAAGTGCTACAGTTACAGCACTCCACACCCATAATATTTGGTACACATCACTCACTTTTGTCCCTCTGAACCATTCAGGCATCTGCTTCCTGTTGGCCCCCATGACACAAGCTCTAGCTCCATGTAATCATTCATCACCATCGCGCTTCCTGTGCTCTCCATCCTGCCATCCCCCTCTGTGGGAACTGTTGACTCATGGTTGACTAAATCAACAGCTTTGACCAGAGGCACCCATCTGGACGGCGGTCAGCGCTTCCACCCGCTGGCCGTCTACCTCTTCTACCGGAACAAACCCCCTGCAGCTTTTAGTCAGCACACAAAACACTTGTGATAACAACATGAGCTGATGTTTACTTGGGAACAAGGACTTTGACACATCCCAGTAAAAGGGCAGAAATTGTGTCAAAAGAGAATAAACGGTCATGCATGTGCCATAAATAAATTGTCGTAAAGCCATAAAGCATTTCATTATGACTGAGTGTCTGTGGGGAGTGAATGCTCGCTTCTCCAGCCTTGTTTATGACAGAGGTTAAAGCCGGTGGCTGTATGCCAGAGGAGGGGTGTTGTCACAAGTTGTCATATCCTCTGCATGCATTCACACCTTTAGAGTAAACAACTGAAGTCGGCAAAGGCTGACTTCTATCAACAAGGAGCTGAACAAGATCTGATGTGCAGAACGAAGTTAATCTTTTTTCTTTTAGCAACAGCAAACTCAACAAAACACCTTCCATTAGACACAGATGAGAATAAATCGCTGACATGTCAAATAAAGCTGGCTGAATTCCAGTGGTGGACGGCTGGTGAAACACATTCTTGGTGGAGCGATGCGTGAAGATTACCTTTAAATGAAAGGCTGGAAAATTAGTACAATTATTGTAATTATTATTATTATTATTACAAAGCCTGACAGATCTACTTCACATTGTCACTTAACATTCATGGACTCACCCATCTTGACCGACAACAGGGAAGGCTGTGGCCTGGTTTAGCTTCTAAGAAACTTTAGAGAACGTCTCGACTAGTAGAAGCTAACTGTTAGCTTTAGCAACAAGGCAGAACTCCTTCAGGCTTGTGTTTTTTGTTGAGATAAAACAGTGGTAGAGTCGCATTGCAGTTAACCCAATATCAGGAAATAAGACTCCAAATCCTGCTGTCTTCAGCTCAACTCTGATCTGGCTCACTTCTAGTTCCTCAAACAGGTAGCCTGTAGCCAGGTAGCCTAGAAATTTAGACAGACAGTTGCCAGAGAAAAATAATGTTGCTCTACATGTCGGTCTAGCCATGGTCCATTGGAGCCTCTGTAGCCCTGACCAGTCTGGTGGCATGCCAATCACAGTGCTTTATCAATTTGGGGGCCAATCAAAGCATTTTAGCTGTTTGGGAAGCCATTCAAAGTACTGTCTGTTTGGGAGCCTAAACACAGTGTTCTGTTTGTTAGTGGCGATGCGACAGAGCGAAACCACAAAGATGGCTCATTTGAATCGACTTGAAATGAAAAGACTTGTGCTTTTCTTTGAGTCAAGAGCAGATAGAGGTACTTGTGCCCTTTATTTGGAAAAATGATGTACTTGTGTCTTCTTTGACTGTGTATGGCGGACTGCCCCATTGACTGACATCAGTAGCGGTGAGTATGTCACGTTGTCCAAAAGCATGCTGAAACAGTTTGAAAACCATAGATTTTGCCCCTCAGCTGAACTTTTTCTATGGGTTGCGGCCAGACTACTCACATAAATAGGATGGCTTGCCAGGCTATCTAACAGGCGCACCAGAGCTTTTGTCCCCTAAAGAAGGACTTATAAGACATTTATTCCACTAGAGATCTCTGCAAATGTATTAACGTATGAGTAAAGGTCCAGACCTATAGTATTTCTACACCCAAAAAATTAGGGAATGCACGAATTAGACAAAGTCACGTCTGCAAATAAAGTGCAACCAAGCAGCACACATTCTTCAGGCCTCCCATCGACAGGGGAATGCTTCAACACTACTCCCTTGGTATGGAAACCATCTGCCTCACTTGTAATCAGCTTGTGCAGTGTCAGGCTGTTTACACTAACGCTGCATGCTTCGGAAGAAAGAAAAAAAAACAACAGGCAAAACATCATAAATCAGCTTCCTCTGAACCCCCCAACACAAGTTTATGCAACCTGAACACACTCTGATGCTTATCGCTGATAAAATGAGTGATTTGTGATGGGATGTGACTAAATTGCACAGTTTAGGAGAACTCCAGGGAATGTTTTTCTCAAGGTATTTGCAGTTAGTTAAGATCAAGAGAGATAATATGTTATTGCTCCAATTAATCTGACTGGTATGGAAAAGATTTGAGAAGATAATTATTGATTGGCATGTGTTTTTGTTTGTTTTAATGTCACGTTGAACCCAACATCATCCACACGCACTTCCAAGGACACCTCTTTCTTTCTTCTTTCTTCTTCTTGCTCCATTTGGTGAAATGTAATAAACATCTCCACAGAGAGAATGAAATTCTGGAGCTGCAGCTGTGGTATTTGACTACAAAATGCCCCCCCACCTCCAGTCCGTTTAACCTCTCGCCCAGCACGCTGGCTCTTACCGCAGCTTTGGGACCAGACCTCTGGATCCAGCCAGCTGTAACATGACGACATAGTCATTATATTACCAGGAAATTAAACAGATGGAGTAAAACATTCCCCCAGCATTGCAGGAATAATGACAATGCATCAATTTCCTTCAGCGGATCCCAAATCAAACATCATTTGCCTTCCATGTCGAGTGCCATTCAGACCTACAGGTCTGTTATTTAATATAATATTTATAGAAGATCTTCAATTCCAGGCATCTTTTTTTCTAATTTTTTTCCTTTATTTTCTTTCTTTCTTTCTTTCTTCCCTATTTTTTTCTTTTTTTGTTTTCCCTTTGTATTTTATTTCTTTTTTCCCTTTTTTCTTTCTTCTTTTTTCCATTTTTTATTTTTCCTTTTTTTCCCTTCTCTTCATTTGCCTTCCACATTGAGTGCCACTCAGACTAACAGGTCTGTTATTTAATACAATATTTATAGAAGATCTTCAATTCCAGGCATCTTTTTTTCTAATTTTTTTCCTTTATTTTCTTTATTTCTTTCTTTCTTTCTTCCCTATTTTTTCTTTTTTGTTTTCCCTTTGTATTTTATTTCTTTTTTCCCCTTTTTTCTTTCTTCTTTTTTTCCATGTTTTATTTTTCCTTTTTTTTCCCTTCTCTTCATTTGCCTTCCACGTCGAGTGCCACTCAGACTAACAGGTCTGTTATTTAATACAATATTTATAGAAGATCTTCAATTCCAGACATTTTTTCTTCTTTTAAATGAAGTCAGAATGACTTCATACACAAGTTTAAAAGTGATTTTGAGTTCTTAGTCACAATCAGTGATTTTTCTCGCAGTATTTTAATGCAAATTCAGTAAACATTATGTCATATACAGCGTCCAAAAATAGAACCAATGGTTTGGTTTGTCTGGGACGGTTCATCGCAGAGAGACGGATGTTTTGCCTGGAGGTGCAGGAGGGCTAGCATTCGTAGTTCACTCCAGGACAAACTCTGAGAAGCAAATAAACTATTACAGCCTCACAAAGTGCAACAAGTGGACTGTTTATTAGTGTTCCAGTGAAAGAGAGATGATGCACGCAAGTGTGTGGGAACAATTAACACAGGTTGAAGACTCAAACAGTAAACTTTGGTTTGTTTTTTCCAGTTTCAAAACATATGTGGTCATATTTGTTTTAGAGGAGGTGTGAGGTAAGCAAATTGTGACTGTTCTTTACTGCTTTACTGTATTAACGGGATCTTCATCCCTTTCCTCGGACGTTAAATCTGTCTTTTTCTCTGATTTGTGCCTGGACCCCTACCGCTGCTCCTCATAGGCCAGGTGTTCGGAAAAAAAATCTCACAAACTGCTGCCAAGGTAGATGGAAGAGGCATGGGAGTGCCAAGAGTATAATAAAAACCATTTGGGCCATAATAAATCCAGCTTTACTAAATATTGGGATCATTTTTTAACAAGAAGTCTCTGGTAAAACTGTGAGCCAATGTTTCATTAGGTCTGACTGATTACCAGGTTTTATTGCAGGTTTTAGGGAATGAAGGATAAAAAGAAGAACTTCACACTTACTCCAAGAAGCTAGTGACCTTTAGGACCATGGGAAGAGAGAATGGGAACTCGAGGGCCAGGACCTCTGGCGTCTTTGGGTGTGCAACTCACGTACTAAAGCAGAAATGCTGCAACCATCTTATCTTCTCCAAAGCGGACACAGACCACCTCCTCAGACATGAATTCAACAAAGAATGCAGGGAGCAAGATCTCTGTTACAGAAGGTCCCTGTTGAACCCAACAGCACCGACGCTGGGTTTTGATAAGATGGCGCCTGGCAAAAAGAGGTTGAGGAGAAGGTCAAACAGGCAAACATTTGCCTCAGAAAGGATGAAAGTTTAATTTGATTTATCATAAGACCGCAGAATCAGGATAAATAATGTTTTTAAATAGAAACATATACCGTATTTTCCAGACTATAAGTCACACTTTTTTTCATAGCCTGGCTGGTCCTGCGACTTGTATACCAAAGTGACTTATATGCCAAATTAGTCTAGGTTATAGACCGGAGCCAACCCGCAGCTGGCTCCGGTCCAGGTTTCAGCTCCTCTGCCCCGCTGGGAGGGTTTCAAACACCGCCATCCTCTGCTGGAGACCGTGGCGCACTGCTCACTATCCTTCCAGTCCCACCTAAACAATATTGCCCGGTCTGCCTACTTCCATCTACGCAACATTAACCGCCTTGGCCTCTCCCTCGCTTCTCACTCGGTCGCCATCCTTGTCCACAGCCTCATCACTTCCCGTATTGACTACTGCAACTCTCTTCTCTTCGGTCTTCCTCACAAATCCCTCCATAAACTCTAACTTCTCCAGAACTCGGCAGCCCGCATCATTACCAGTACTCTCTCCTTCCACCACATCACCCCTGTTCTTCAGCAGCTCCACTGGCTCCCAGTCACTTCCAGAATCCAATTAAAAATTCTGCTATATACATTCAAAGCCATCCATAACCTAGCTCCCCCGTACCTCTCAGACCTCCTTCATCCCTCAACCTCCGCCCATTCCCTCAGGTCCTCCACCCACCTCTCTGTCCCACCTCTCCGTCTGGTCACTATGGGGAGCAGGGCCTTCAGTCGCTCTGCTCCCCAGCTCTGGAACTCACTCCCTCCTGACCTCCGTAACATTGACTCCCTCACTCTCTTTAAAACCAGACTCAGAACCCACCTGTTCCATCTAGCATTCCAGTAGTTACTTTCTTTGCTCCAATCTGTCTGTTTGTTTTATGCTGTTCTATCTTTTATTG